CAATTATGGAAAATTTGAGGTTGTGTCAATTATATTTTTTTTTATAATCAATATTTTGACATATTTATCATGTATAATTTTCTTGTTAATTAAAAGGATAATAAGTATTTTATTTATGGATATCACCTTTTCATGACTTTCTTTAATATAAAGCTACCTTTGGTAAACTTGATTGCTCATACTTGTTTTTCTTTTATTTCAGGTACGCCATCTCATAAGGGCATTAATTACATCTCATACGTGCATTAAGTATTTTATCTATTTTATTTTAATATTATTTTATTTGCATTTTATTCTTTTTTCATTTAATACTTATTTCTAAATAATTTTATTTTGTTCTATATTTTATATTTCAATTTAAAGTTATTAAATCGTTTATTGAATTAATTTCTAGTTTTTCCTGACATAGATTAAATAACTAAATATTACCGCCCAAATTTATAATAGTTATTTTTAAATTATAAATATCGTCCTATAATATGCTTATAGCTCAAAATTAATATGTCACTTTGACATCGTTAAAAAAGATGTATTATTTGGTATTAGGATAGATACCTACCTACGCCTTACCTGTGGAAGTAATGGGTTTAATGATTATCTAGACGGGGAGAGAGGAAAGGTATACAAACGGAGAACTTAGCAGTGCCGTACCGTATGGAAGGGGTTATATATTGTTAATTACTATAAAATGCTAGATGAAAGAGGATGGACATGATTTTAAAAATATTGTTTTATAGCGTATATTTTTAACTTTCAATGGGGTCTATTCTGTAACAATTCCTTTATATTTAACGGCCTTTAAAAATATTTAATTCTTTACTTCTGTCATTATTTAAACGGATCTTTAAAATACATTAGAGGACTATCTTAAAGAAATCTGTTTAAATAATGACAGAAGTAAATTAACGAATACGAACATATGTTTAAAGGCCGACAATATTTTTAAAGGCGGTTAAATATAAAGGAATTTTTACAGAATAGACCCCATTCTGAGAGATTATAATTAGATTTTGTATTATTTTTACCTGCTTGCATTTATTTTATAGTAATAATTTGTTAAATGTTCGACTTTTAACATATCAGTAACAAAATTATCACTTAATAACACCACTAGTGCCTAAATTATTTCCTGAATTTTTTTCGAACACCAATATTTTGAAAATTATCTCGATTCGAAGACGAGGGACAATTTTCTTAAAATATTCGTGACTAAAAATTCCAGACAATAATTTAGACACGTGTGGCATTCGGTAAGAAAATTTTACTCTGAAATATCAAAATTTCAAAACTTGACAGACATGCATTAAAACAACTAATATAAAAGTTGCAAACACATAGTATGCAAAGTTTGCCATGCCAGTTATGCATATTTGAAGTCGTTTGGTCGACGCGAAAAACCTAATTATTATTTTACTTAAAATAAATATAGTGTATTTCTATCTAGTTATAATTGATATTAAATAAAATATTAACCATGAAGGAGCTTCTTAAATGTCAAAAAATTTCCAATGTAATTTCGTTCAGGGTACCCATCAGGAGAAAAATTTCCGGATTTTTTCTGGTTTTTCTAAAAATGTTTTAAAATAACATCATTTGATCGGCTATAAAATAGAGGTGTGAAATTTTCTTCCAATTTATTCTCAAATTTCAGAACGAATTTTCGTTTTCTTAACTAGAGCTTTCAACCTGAAAACAATTTAGCTCAAGGAACTGTCTCCCAAAAATTGCTCAGATAAAAAAAATACGTGTGGCACTCGGGGACTGCCGCGGTAAAGCTATTGCATAGCATTTTTTATCAACTTATGCAATTATAATTATTTATTTATTTTATTTATGCAGTATTTTTTTTCTTTGATATTAATTCAAGTTTTTCCTTTAATATTAAGTTACACTTTTTGAGCGTGATGACCGATAAATAAACAAATTTTTTTCTAATGAGAAGTTAATATTGTTTAAAATATTTTTATTATCTTACAATACATGTAAAAATCCGTCGAAAACTGGAGGTCGAAAAAATTATGATTCCTATACTTTCCTTATCTGTATACAGATAGGAAAGTAAAAAGTAAGAAACGTAAAAAAAAAGTAAAAAAGTAATAAAACAATAATATTTTTCCTTTTTTTTTTAAGAAAAAAAAACTAAAAGTTTCGGGGCTCGAACTACTATCCACATTACGACTACTGTACGCTCTGCGCCACCAAGCACATATTGATAGACGTTTGGAATCGCTTATAATAATATATAACAATTTATTACAAATATTTACGAAAAATTTTATCATGTCAAATGATACCTATATTGTAATTTAATGGATTCACATCACATACTTTGATTACTATACGAGGCAAGAGAGAGGTCCGACACGCCCAACATAGGGCGCGGCACAGTGTCGGACTGGCCCGGTCGGCAAGTCGGCATTTGCCGACGGGGCCAAACCCTTTTGGGGGCCAACGGTCAAGCACTAGAGATAAATCAAACCACCATCATAAAAATGTTGTTTACAATAATTCAACGAAATCTAGGAAATCTGGCAAACATTGGTGCATCTAGAAGTAGTCTAGGCTGCTGAGACAATTTGTTCTACGTGGATACTTTTTTTTAGAAATTTCTGCAAATATGAAACTCTTTTCATATCATTTATCATGATAAAAAATTTTGAATACGCGACTCCCGCCTCAAATTATCTTGAGACAAAAAGTACTAATTTTATCCAAGCATACCATTTGGTAACAAATCTGAAAGCAATGCTAAATGAAATATATGACAAATTTTAATTGTTAAAAAGACGAATGCATTTTTAAATTATATAAATCAAATTGAGACCATTAGAAACAAAGATATTGTAATTAAACATGAGCTGTCACAACAAAGATTAAGAAAAAGGAAACGTATGGTAGGCGAAACAACTGAAGATTCCGTTATTATTGATCCAATGAAAAAATTTGAAGTTGAAGTATTTAAATCAGTAATTAATCAGGCAATTCAAAGTATAAGTCAGAGATCTGAAGCCAATAAACAAATTTATGAAGATTTTTCAGACCTTGACACCAGAAATTTTAAAAGCTTGGATTTATTAAGCGACTGATATTGCAGAAAGATTGGGATCGATAATGTAGAATTAAAAAATGAATTATTGAGTTTCACACAAATATAACCGGATGATAAAAAAAATGTAAAAACAGACCTCTGCATAAATAAGTCTGAAACAAATGAATGAGTAGGTTGCGTACTTTTAAAATTTTAAGAGAATACAATATGCATATATCCACGGTTTAGTCGTTTTAACCTGTCAGATTAAACAAGAAAACCGACAATTCCGAAGCAGAAGCGGATGATTAAAACGCACCTATTAAAAATATTGCTCTAAGATGTAGGCAACACGTAATAAGGGTTCAAAATGGCGGAGTTTTCTATCTCCTTTTAAAAGGCACTCAGAAAGCTGCGCAGTGCGACCATTCTCCGTATAGTAAAAGAAAATCAAAGTATGTGATTCACATAAATATATGATTTAAAAACTATAAAAGTATCATTATTACTTAATTGTATTAATTTTTAATCTTGAGAGATTAAAAGTTTAAACATAAGTCATCTAAATAAATGCATTTTTTTATTATACTCCGAAATATGAATTTAAAATCTCTTTCTATAGTAAATAACACTTTTTTTGGGTCATATTTTACGACCCCTTTCTATTATGCGCAGTACCTGGTATCCCGGGTTGGTCTAGCCAACACAGGTATATCTGCTTTTCCATCCAAATGATTTCAAATTACAAAATTTCAAAGTGCATCAAACACTTAATGAAATTTGTGTTACTAGCTCTCCAACTATAATATTTACATTTACGCCAGCCAGGAACATTTGTGATACAAATGTATTAGAAGCTCTTCTAGTTCTTGTATTGCATAAATGTTCCAGTCCGCAGACGTATATTTAACTTCGCTTCATACTAATACGAATAGGATCGGATATAACATTCCATGACTTTAACGTAGCGCTGCTGTGCCGGTCGGAGTGGGGGGTGTTAGGTTTATTTTCGTTACGGTGTTACGAAATTTCTTGATTCGGTCGCCACCCAAAGCTTGCGATTAAAGATATGCAATAGCTTAAAAACTTCTTGTGTGCGACGACTGAGGAATTAAATAATGTTTGAAGAATAATGCCCATTATGAACAAATAATATTACACATCACCTGTTAGGAAACATTCGCAACTATCGTATACAATTTAAAAAACACGTTATTGTCTAAACAGGTTTAAACCCTTTTACAAGACAAAGCTTCAAAAATATAAATTATGAAAGCAAAAACAAAATAAATAATTATTAAATTTCAAGCTATAATAGGTACACTTGAATGCACAACAATAAAATAACCATAATTAAATTTCAAATTGCAGTACCGCCCAAAAAAAGATCGGAAATAGTATAAAATTATCCCATATTTTTTTTGTGTCATCGGCTTCAACTGCTAAGGTTATTTCGCCTCGTGTTCTGTGTAGGCTTTGTTACTGTTTCCCAGTGCCACTTTAGGAACAGCACTGTTAATTAGAACCCAACAGTGAATGGTCGAGTGGGGAATCCTACCAAGGCATCAGAATTAATTTTAAATAATTAAATTAAATGAAAAAATCCCAGCCAACGGTGGGATTCGAACCTGAGACCTTCCGATCTCAAAGTCATGACTCTAACCACTGAGCCAACCCACCCCCTTATCCCATATTAATTTCAAATTTACCAATGAAGTTAGAGCCACTCATTTGCATAACCCATACAGGTTTGCTGGTTTTAATAAGTTGGTATATTTTAATTGCAATCTGTATACAAATCGTTTTCAAGACCCAATAGCAATTAACCCAAATAATAGGATTAATCTAAACTCTTAAAATAAAATAAGGAAAATTAAAAAAACACAATTTTAATAATGATAATAAAATGTATTACAATTACAAATTAAAACAGACTTACAAAAGTAGTGCATGTACACCAAAAATAATAGCTGAGATTCAAAAAAAAAGTAAATAAATAAAAACTCCTCCTATAACATATAAACATAAAAGAAATATTTTGCCTTTACTAAATATAACATACATAAAAATAATATAACCCTACGGGTATTCAAAGGCACCTAGAAGCCATTATATAGTTTCTTTTCAAATGCTGTACTTGCTCTTTTTAATTTTGATTACAAGTATATTATTTTTTTTGGATTAACATCCTAGGCAACACATTCAAAGCTTGAACAACATTGATGATACTGTCTTTATTTTATTGTACCAAAACTTCATAGTCCGGGAAGGAAAGTTCTTGACCTCCATAAGGGACGTAGCAGACTCCATGACTCTGTTGTACTTTGCCAACGGTCAAGGCTCCGTCATGGACAACTCTGCCTACATATAGAGGTTCACCGTCTTCACTTTGGCCAGCAGTCAATGCATTTGGTGGGATGTTTCCTTAAAAAAAAGTAAAACATAAGGAAATTTGCCATTTATAATATTAATTAATTGTGTAGCACTATATTTTGTACATACCTCCTGAAGTGGCAATCCACTGACCAGGGAAATCGCAAAGTACTTCGTATTCAGGTACGGCATTTTCTGTGCCTCCCCAGGCGACGTAGGCAATACCATGGCTTGGGACTAACTTCCCTGGAATTAGAGCACCGTTGAATTGGGCTCTGATAACGTAAAGAGGTTCTCCGTTGTCTTCACCACCGGCGAATGCTCTTGGTGGTACCTGACCTCCTCTACCTCCGGCCCAACATACTGATGAGAAGTTAGAACGGGGTTGGGTGTAGTTGGCTGGAGCTCCTGGGGCACTAGCGAAACCTGTAAAAAAAACAAAAATGGTTGTTATAGGAACTCCATAACTAAAATGTGTATAACATTACAATTTTTTATCTTTACAACTTAGAATAATGGCTAGTGAACTTACCGCCGCCAGCACCACCAGCTCGTGGTGGTTCAACAACCCAGGATCCAGTAGCTCCCCATCCAGTACATACACCAACATATTCAACATTGATTGGTTCGTAGTCGTTGAAAGATAGGAATGGTGGTACTTCGTTTTCCCTGCCGACAGAGACGTTTCCGTTTTGCCATCTGATCCAGAAACCTCTAAATTCATGTGGGTTCAAAATTCCGGGCGTTGGTACTTCGGCTACATCGGGTTTGGTTCTGTTCTTACGGATGATCGATTTTGAGTTACCCCAACCTCCGAGGAAGATTTCGTACATGGGATCGCATTCTGCAGCTTGAGTCGTCAACGCGATATGAGCATCATTGGCTGCCTTTACTCTGAATTGTACAAAGCCTGTACTGTTTGGGAAGAAGTTGTATTCGAGTCGGTCTTCGGTTTCTAATTCTGCAAATAAATGTCATTTATAAATAGGCAAGATTCAATTATCCATTTATCAAAACATATTTTTTCAAAGTGATTTCTAATTTCTCATGTTCGTGGAAAAAAGCTTTTATTATTCCACTTGCGTTCTATTAGTATTTTGCCGACCCTTTCTAAATCGTTTGAATTTATACGTAAATATCAAATTAGCAATTATGTATACTAACAAAACAATAACTCCAGCTCAACCTGGCTTCAGAGGGCACCATAATACGACCATGGCCCTCTTATCTATCACGGATGACCTCTTTACTTTAGTTAGATTATCAAACACATTGCAAAAACTGAAATGTTTTCTCATAAATCCGTTTGTTTAATATCAAATTATCTTAGCAAGCAGTTTGCCTGTTATGCAAGGTGTTCCACAAGGATCCATTGTAGAATCATTACTTCTCTCAAAATAGATAGCAGATTTGCATAGCTTTATTAAAAATTGTGGTCCATCATTATGTAGAATGTAGATGATACCCAGTTATATTACTCGTTTAATAATGAATGCTCACTTACTGCCGAAAATCTTATTATCGACGATTTAAATGCTTTACTTCATATTTCTACGGCCTTCTACAACCTTAAAGTAAATTCCAATAAATCATCCGTCATGTTATTCGCCCGCAAACAAGGCAATTCAAATTAAACAAATTACAAATTAAATTAGGCAAAGCTCTCCTTGAATTCATGAATGAAGGAGAAACCTAGGTTTTTGGTTAGATTCCGATCTTCGTTTCAGTAAACCTTAAATCCACCTTATCTCTTCGTTCATCGTCTTAAGACGGTTGTACCTACTCTAACCAAGGCATGCTTTCAACACAACTCAAACCTAAACTTTGTGAATCTCTTATTTTTTTGTAAATTCAGGTATTGTGATTCTATATATCTATGGTCCAATTTTAGTTCAATCCGATTCCACGTGATTACAAAAAATTCAGAATTATGTACGCATTGCCTAGGGAATTCGAAGATCTAATCATATCTAAAATAAAATGAAATAATCGGGTTGGATCATTTTCAATAACTATGGACTACTGCATTTTTTATTAACCCAAATTTACAAAGTTTTACTCATACAAAAATCTGATTATCTAGCTAACAAATTAAATACACGCAATAGAATGGCCTTGGTAAGGTCCGATTACAATTAGAAGAATACAGCTACGTCATCATTTAGCAAAGTAATTAATTGGTTATCGCTCCGCCTACTGAGGGTTGTGGAGTGTTAGTATTATAGAAATATAGGAAATATTGTTTTATACCTAACAATTTACTTATTTTTTATTTATTTATAGTTATAGATAATACCTACATAATTTAAATTCTATTATTGTTCGGTGGTAATGGTTATCACCAGAGGAGATGTAACTACTAACAAATTTCGTGCGGTCCTCAATAAGACATATTCTAAGGGATACAGGAGGGTTTAATATCCGCTGTTATCATAAGCCTATTTCATTATTCTCGTTTTGTTTACAACATTATTTACATATATTAAAAAAGCTAAAATAATTCAACCTATTTTATTACAACTGAACCCAAAAAATGTTGAATTATTAGTTATATCAAATTTAACTAAATTAGATGTAATTTCGCTAAATTAAATGTAATAATATTCAATAAATTACAAAATGTAGTAATGGTTTACACATTTATTGATTAATAAAATAAAGTTGTATCTGCGTAAAATCCTTCTCTTTTTACCCTCTCTTACTTCTCACCGTTCGTCTCCTCGCCGCGGACCTACAAATAGAGCGTATTGATTGTCGAATTAATCTTGGCATCATGAATATTATATTTTATCAATGAATGGTTATATCTCTGTTATCTCTGGTTATGACGTAGCGGTGTTTTCCTAATTGTAATCGGACCCTAGTACCTAATCATAACACGGCTCTTTTTAAAAGTTATATTCCTATGTCGCATGCAGAGACAAAGAGTACTATAGACTTAAAAAAGAAATTAAATCCTACAATTTGATTAACTTCAAGAAACGCCTAAATAATCTTTGGACAATAAACAATGGTAATCAAAAAATGTTATAAGGCTTGGTTTTAAAATCTGTTTATTTTTTTATTTTTTACGTTATTTATAGGTTAGTCATAAGTTGTAAACCAAGGCAAGAATTTCATCTTTTAATTTTCCTCCATTTATGTTTACACTTACACTTATATTGTAACTTTATTAATAAAGACGATTTTTATTATTGTGATGTGAAGCTGTCTCCGTACTTTGTTTACTCCTTGCACGCGGTATGAAGTCTAGCGCCATATAGGGACAAACGCATCGCTTCGAGAAGCTTCCGGAAAGATCCCTTTGCAGCGTATGAGTCATAGAGAGGCAGTTATCGATCGTTCTAGAAAGCCGAGAGAGTTCTGGTTCAGATATGGCTTTATATAAATAGCGGGAGTTTGTCGACGGAGGGGAAGATTCAACTGAAGTGTTGGACAGAGAAGATAAATTGTAATAAATAAATTAGAATTGCGAGTTATAATAGTGCCTATTATATAAATTAATTAGTACGTTATAAATAAATTGTAGTGTTTTAAATAAATAAACCATAAATAAATTAAACAAACGGTACATTATTATTTTAAAAATAATGCTTATTAATTTGATTTCATTTCGAGACAATAAACTTGTAATACCTTGTAATAAAATGTTGTGTTTCAAATTCTTTTATTGAAATTAAGGATTTTAAAAATAGTTTTAAAAAATAAAAAAATAACAATTACTCTTTATTCGTACTCATAAATATATGGATAATTGAGCAAAATTTAATTTTATTAGTCTAAAGCGGGATGTCAACAATCATTGATTGTGATTTCCTAATGATCTTAATAAATATTTTTTTAGCGATGACTATTTAATTGGCTCCAAGGATCTATTTGGTTTTATTATTCATTAAATTAAAGGCAATTCTAAAATGTAAACTAGGGCACTTCAAACGTGAAACTTATAAATAGATTTTAACAACTTCGATATTGATTTTTGAATATATTTTATTTTTATCCTGAAACTTCGAAAAATACACGTTGATATAAATATAGTTTCAAGTTTTAAGAGGTCTCAAAAGGGTTAACATTATTGCGTGATTGATAACTAGAAATAGAAGTCATAAAATCAGTAATGTCAATTCAAAATGTATAGATATAAATATGGCATTACCTTTACCTCAACAATTTATTTTAAATTGTCTGATATTTCCATATGCACAACAAGAAGAAACATTTTATTGTCTAGTAATAAATGTATGTCTCCATGGCCACTTACAATAACATAAAGAAAACATTCTCGCTCTGGAGATTGAAAGCAAATTCTGAAACACTTGCCTCGTTTTTACTACGAGTATATTCAACTACTACTGTGTCTGTGGCCGTGGAGAAAATGCAATCTGTTACTCTGTTGGAATATACTATTATTCAAAAAATAAATAATTATTTTTATATTTTACGTTTCTTACAATGACACAGAGATGGGCTAAATAGGAAAATAATAGAACAGGGGATATTTTCAACTTTAACATTTACTTCATCGACCTCCAGTGATATTTGAACGGCAAAATTTTGCTATAGTAGTTTGTGCAACAAGATTGGATATGATGGTCATATCGAACGTAGACGAAATTTGAGCACGACGCCGTAGGCGGAGTGCTCAATCGTCTGAGTGCGTTGTGGGCAATCTACTCGAGTTGTATAGAATATTTTTTCTACGACTCTACGAAAATTTACAAATAAAAAAAATATTTTAGGTTATTAAGACAAAATAACTAATTTTAAAATAATTTATGAATTTTAATAATAGTTTTAAAATAATTTATTAATTTTAATAATTTTTAAAATAAAATAAACGAAAAAAAAAGAAAAAAGTTAATTTCATTTTTCCCAATCCGAGAATTGAACTCGAGTCATCCATGTGGAAGGCAAAAACCCTAACTATAGGACCATCTACGCGTGTATTTTTTGCTTTAATACTCGTAATCAAATTGACTTCATATAGTTTTATTTAAATTAACAAATTATTTATAATTATAGACGAAATAAAAATATAAATTCTATTATTTTAGCGATTCTACACAAGAATAACTCATTTTAATGTATGTTTAATCTCAATAACTAAAAAATATACTGACAATTAGTTTGACAGAATTGTCACTTATTTAAAATTTTAAAAATAATAGCAGTCGGTTAATCAAAACATGAACTGTGATAGGTGGATTTCATTTGAAGGCAATAGCATACTTTTTCGTTTTGTAATTTGTGCGTAGATAAGCTAATATCCATGTGGGTGTAGAAAAAATTATTTTATGAGTATTACAAATTAAAAATTTAAAAAAACCGACTTCAAAAACGTGTAGATGCCATCACCACATCTTAATCAAATTTATATAAGATCACCCCTGAGGTACCCCCTTACTAACAAAACAAGAATCGTATAAATCGGACAAGGTGCATTATCGCTAAACATACATAAAAATGAAGAGTTTGAGGATTTTCTCATGGATACAATTATTATATTTTGACCAAATTTATATGGGACCACCCCTAAAGTAGCCCCTTTCTAACAAAAAAAGAATTATTGAAATCTGACACCGTGTTAAAAAATTATCGCTGAACATACATAAAAAATGAAGAATTTGAGGATTTTCTCATGGACCCAATTATTAGATTTTGACTAAATTTATATGGGACCACCCCTGAGGTACCCCCTTACTAACAAAACAAGAATCGTATAAATCGGACAAGGTGCATTATCGCTAAACATACATAAAAAATGAAGAGTTTGAGGATTTTCTCATGGATACAATTATTATATTTTGACCAAATTTACATGGGACCACCCCTAAAGTAGCCCCTTTCTAACAAAAAAAGAATTATTGAAATCTGACACCGTAAAAAATTATCGCTGAACATACATAAAAAATGAAGAATTTGAGGATTTTCTCATGGACCCAATTATTAGATTTTGACTAA